CCAGGCCCCACCCTCTTATCCAGGCCCCACCCTCTTATCCAGGCCCCACTCTCTTGTCCAGGCCCCACTCTCTTGTCCAGGCCCCACCCTCTTATCCAGGCCCCACCCTCTTGTCCAGGCCCCACCCTCTTGTCCAGGCCCCACCCTCTTGTCCAGGCCCCACCCTCTTGTCCAGGCCCCACCCTCTTGTCCAGGCCCCACCCTCTTGTCCAGGCCCCACCCTCTTATCCAGGCCCCACCCTCTTATCCAGGCCCCACCCTCTTATCGAGGCCCCACCCTCTTGTCCAGGCCCCACCCTCTTGTCCAGGCCCCACCCTCTTGTCCAGGCCCCACCCTCTTATCCAAACCTGCTTCTAAAAGCCTGGCCCCCTATCTTCCCATCCTCTGCTTCATCCATTATCCGGAATGTCACTTACTCCCCCCCCCCTTCCCTACACACACACACACACACACACACACACACACACACACACACACACACACACACACACACACACACAGAGGGGGTCTGGTAGCTGTGTGGATAGCGTGTAGGACTCGTAATTCTGTGGTCCGGGTTGGATTCCAGGAGCAGGCAGAAACAAATGGGCAAAAGTTTTTCACCCTGATTCCTCTGTTACCTATCAGTAAATAGGTACCTGGGAGTTATCCAGCTGCTACGGGCTGCTTCCTGGGTGTGTGTGTGGGGGGAGGGATGAGTTAGTATAGTTAGTAACAGTTGATTGACAGTTGAGAGGCGGGACCAAAGAGCCGAAGCTCAACCGTACAAGCACAACTCAGTGAGCACACGGGGGACCGCGCACTCTACCACCAGGGGCCAGACACCACAGTGACAGCGTGGCGCGCGACAATGAAGAATCTCTACCGAGCTTAAACCTTCCTCGGCAACACTATTTCGTCCGGGACCCTTGGCGGGAGACGGGGCGCGGGGAGGGGAGGGCGTGGGAGACGGGGCGTTAGAGACGGGGCGTGGGGAGGGGAGGGTGTGGGAGACGGGGCGTGGGGAGGGAAGGGCGCGGGAGACGGGGCGTGGGGAGGGGAGGGCGCGGGAGACGGGGCGTGGGAGACGGCGCGGGGAGGGGAGGGCGTGGGAGACGGGGCATGGGGAGGGGAGGGTGCGGGAGACGGGGCGTGGGGAGGGGAGGGCGTGGGTGACGGGACGTGGGAGACAGGGCGCGGGAGACAGGGCGTGGGGAGGGGAGGGCGCGGGAGACGGGGCGTGGGGAGGGGAGGGCGCGAGAGACGGGGCGTGGAGAGGGGAGGGCGCGGGAGACGGACATGGGGAGGGGGAGGGCGTGGGAGACGGGGTGCGAAGAGGGGAGGGCGTGGGAGACGGGGCGTGGGGAGGGGAGGGCGTGGGAGACGGGGCGTCGGGAGGGGAGGGCGTGGGAGACGGGGCGCGGGGAGGGGAGGGGAGGGCGTGGGAGACGGGGCGCGGGGAGGGGAGGGCGTGGGAGACGGGGTGCGAGGAGGGGAGGGCGCGGGAGACGGGACGCGGGGAGGGGAGGGGAGGGGAGGGCGCGGGAGACGGGACGCGGGGAGGGGAGGGGAGGGCGTGGGAGACGGGGCGCGGGGAGAGGAGGTAGAAGAAAATGACAGAAAACGAGAGGGAAAGAGGAAGGAAGATGCTTGAGGAACTCGAGCAACTAATTAGTTGATAACGAGTATTGTCACCAGAACATCAGCCTTTAAGTCCAAGCTTATCAGGCGCATCAGTGCAGTTACCGCCGGGGGCTGTGTTTACACATGTGCAAATGGGTCGGGAGAGTTGTTATTATAAACTGCGGCTCAACGGGGCACGAGCTGCTGCAAACAGAAATATGGTGAAGCAATATAAAAGTGCGGGTGTGTGCTTGCTTGCTTGTGTGTGTGTGTGCTTGCTTGCTTGCTTGTGTGTATTCACCTAGTTGTGCTTGCGGGGCTTGAGCTCTGCTCTTTCGGCCCGCCTCTCAACTGTCAATTAACTGTTTCTACTACTACCTTTTTTTTTATCTCTCTCTCTCCCCCACACACACACACACACACACACACACACACACACACACACACACACACACACACACACACACACACACACACACCAGGAAGCAGCCTGTGACAGCTGACTAACTCCCAGGTACCTATTTACTGCTAGGTAACAGGGGCATTCAGGGTGAAAGAAATTCTGGCCATCGTTTCTCGCCGTCGCCCGGGATCGAACCAGGGACCACAGGATCACGTTTACAGCGTGCTGTCCGCTCGGCCATCGACCCAAAAGTGTGTGTGTGTGTGTGTGTGTGTGTGTGTGTGTGTGTGTGCTTGCTTGCTTGTGTGTGTGTGTGTGTGTGTGTGTGTGTGTGTGTGTGTGTGTGTGTGTGTGTGTACACTCTGCTAGTTGTAATCACCTAGTTGTGCTTGCGGCTCTTGGTCCCGCCTCTCAATTGTCAGTCAACTGGTGTACAGGTTCCTGCAACCCGTCCTCAGTCCAAGTCCATTCCATCCAGCGGTCGACCCCAAAGACGCATTCATCAATTTTAACATGCTGTTCGGTCAAAATAGGAATTTTCTCAAATATAAAATAATAATAATAATAATATATATTAGCATAATGTGCATATTTAGGCATATGTTGGACTACATTAGGTGTTTAAGTTCTGATGGCGATTATTTGTATTTGTAGTACGTGGGTGAAGCAGTTACAGCTTGTGGTTTGGAAAAAAAAAAGTCGTCAACGAAGCACTTGTTCCGGAAGTGTTCGGACGTCATCAGTTGGAAGTCGTGTGTAAACTGTTTTTCATTCATAAACAGGGATGGGGGGGTGCATGGAATGGACTTTGGCCTTTGTTTATGAGGACGGGATGGGTTGCTGAGCTGGGTTCCTACACATGAAACTGTGTATGGAGTCAGCCTGCACCACATCACTTCCTAATGCATTCCATTTATTAACTACTGACACTGAAAGGGTTCTTTCTAACGTGTCTGTGACTCATTTGGGTACTCAGCTTCGACCTGTGCCCCCCTTGTGCGAGTACCCCTGTGTTAAATAATCTGTCAATATCTACCCTGTCAATTCCCCTGAGAATTTTGTAAGTGGTAATCATGTCTTCCCGAACTTACTCTGTCTTCCAGCGACGTGATGTACAATTCGCGCAGCCTTTCCTCGTAACTCATGCCTCCTAGTTCTGGGACTAGTCTAGTGGCATACGTTTGAATCTTCTAAAATTTCGTCTTATGCTTTGACAAGGTATGAACCCTATGCTGAAGCTGCATGCGCGTGTGTGCACGTGAGCATACGCGCGTGAGCACGTGAGCATACGCGCGTGAGCACGTGAGCATACGCGCGTGAGCACGTGAGCATACGCGCGTGTGCACGTGAGCATGCGCGTGTGTGCACGTGAGCATGCGCATGTGTGCATGCGCGTGTGTGCACGTGAGCATGCGCGTGTGTGCACATGAGCATGCGCCGCGCGTGTGCACGTGCGTGCTCACTGGTGAGTGTAGCGGGTGGTGTTGAGTAAGGTAGCACAAAGGGCACCGCCGTCACCACCCCGTCGGCTGCCCCAGCAACATGACCACCATTACCCGCATACCATCACCCCTTCCCTCTGACCTTCCTCGACCTTTTTGAAGTTCTGTGACCTTTAACCTTTTGAACTTACATGCGCGTCCTCCCCCCCCCCCTTCCCCAGGCTCAATGGCCTACCCCAGAGAGGCACTCATTTTTTTTAATTAAACATTGCATTCACATGGCACCTTACTAATTAATTAAACATTACATTATTATGGCACCCACACCACCTTATGGCACCCACACCACCTTATGGCACCCACACCACCTTATGGCACCGTGTACCCCATGCACCTGGCAGAGTTGATGGGAGGGTGGGGGGGAAGGGGTGTACAGGTATCGTCTCGTATATATGACTTATCTACTTTTTAACATATATTTTTTTTTATCTCTTCTTTCGTCGACTTATATTTTATGTATAGAGAAGAATATTAAGAAAGAAAAGTTATGTTATGTGCTTTTGGAACGTTTCAAATTGCTCCCCATAACTCTGTCCGTACCATAAAAAACTGTGTTAGATTGAGTTTAAGTGTGGTGAATGTGCGAGTAATGCACCATAACACAGGGCTCTGTATAACACCATTCAGCAGCTTGTTCTCCCGTAGTGTGGCGAGCGCGCGAGTAATGCACCATAACACAGGGCTGTGTATAACACCATTCAGCAGCTTGTTCTCCCGTAGTGTGGCGAGCGCGCGAGTAATGCACCATAACACAGGGCTCTGTATAACACCATTCAGCAGTTTATTCTCCCGTAGTGTGGCGAGCGCCGCCGGCCTGACCTTCGCCACCCACCACTTGCCACTGGCGCTTGTTAGTCATGGTAGCGGCTTTTTGTACCAACACGAAAATCAGTATTACCTTTGGGAGCATCTTCGTTAACCTTGCATCTTGGGAGTATTGCTTCACCCGGGTGGCCGTTAGCCGCTTGTTAGATACGGCGTCGTTCCGTAATTGTCGTTAACCGGAGCTTGCGTGAGCCTCGCCTCTCGATTGGGGATGGGTTGTGAGCGTAGCCCCGAGGTGGAGCGTCTTGAGGTCCACCAGTGTGCGCTTGACTCTGCTGTTTTGTTTATCATGGTGTTTACATGGGAATGTTGGGCAGCAACAGCATCATCATTGCGTGTTGCCTGACCAGTCTTGGGGTAGGCAACTCCCACTCCCTGCATGGGTTTTCTCCCGTACACCCATGCATGGGTTAGCGCTCACTCGTGTGCACTACGGTATGGAGCCCGCTCGTGTGCACTACGGTATGGAGCCCGCTCGTGTGCACTACGGTGTGGGGCCCGCTCGTGTGCACTACGGTGTGGGGCCCGCTCGTGTGCACTACGGTGTGGGGCAGGGGATCTTCAACTGTGTCTCACAGCACCGTAAACGTTCACACCAACTAACTAGTGATCAGTAATTTATTTTAGAACTGCGTAAATTTGCACTTTATTTTTGTAATAATTGCTGTTTTAATTCAGGGTTATATATCATAAGCTAGTGTATAATACCAATTTGTGTAAATAAACACGTGACGTACCTGATTATTTGTTGACTTGGAAGACCAAAGACTCGTCAGTGTGTCGTGTTAATGTAGTGTAATATTGTGCGAGACAAATATGATACATTCTGCGGGTGAGGAAACTGTCACTGTATGTGAAGCAAGCGTGCACTGTGTCCGTGTGAAGCAAGCGTGCACTGTGTCCGTGTGAAGCAAGCGTGCACTGTGTACGTGTGAAGCAAGCGTGCACTGTGTACGTGTGAAGCAAGCGTGCACTGTGTACGTGTGAAGCAAGCGTGCACTGTGTACGTGTGAAGCAAGCGTGCACTGTGTACGTGTGAAGCAAGCGTGCACTGTGTACGTGTGAAGCAAGCGTGCACTGGGTACGTGTGAAGCAAGTTTGCTCCGTGTACGTGTGAAACAAACGTGTGTTTTATATAACAATAACACAAGTGAAGATGATAACAATGCAAACAATGATCCACCGTCAGGAGGGCGGGGCGCCTCTCAGGAAGCCAGACAAAACCGTCAGGCCTAATTCCAGCGGAAGTGTCAAGGGAAAAGGTAAACGTAAGGGCAATAAGAAGAAGAAGGACGCTGCTGCGGGTGGAGACGACGCTATCGGAGAGATTTTCATGGACGTGACCCATCCTGGGGGCGACAAAGGTGTGGGCGAGTCCCGAGCAGTCGTAGCTCGCGAGTGGCTCTTGCTGAAGAACACGGAGATGCAGGCGATCCACCCGATCAAGGCAGGTGAACGAGGCATTTCAGGCAGCAGTCGCGCACGTGAAGAACCCGCACATACTCCCAGTCTCGTCCCTGTCAGAAAAAAAGACGCCCGTCCTGCAAAGAACAACAAAACAAGAGACGCTAATGGTAATGTCAGAATACTAAAGGAACCGCGTCCAAGTATTCTGGAGGGCAGCCATCTTAGATTGTCTGCTGACATGACTCCCAAAGCCAACAAAGGTGGCGCCGCAGACGACAGAGAAGATCCTCTAAGAGTAACACCTCCCATGGATGTATCACACGCTGGTGACATCACTCTCATTAGGGTACAACCACCGGACGAGGCAGTAGACGATGCTGTTAACAGAGATGGTCACACTCGAGATAAGAGTAAAGTATCTGACAACTACACCAAGAAAAGCAGTCGACATGTGGTCTCAGAAGTGTCGTCCGGGGATAGACGAGAACGAAAGAGCGGGGGCAATAAAGTGACGAACGTGAAGCGCCACAGCTCTAGCCGGAGCACAGGTTCAGAGGGCAGCACCCTCCGTAGGATACGACGACGAGGGATGCACCACAGTAGCACCGCCACGCAGACCCCTCCAGGCTCTCATTCAGAGCTTCGTAACTGTACAATACCTCCAGACAACAAACGCGGCTCTTACAAGAGCCATGAGGGTCCCGTTGGCGACCACCGGGGCCACGAAGACACTCACCGAAAAGATCTAACAGGAAGTATCCCTGGTGCGTCACTCCTCCTGAAACTGGTGTTGCCACGGGACAAGCGCACCAGCAGACATTCCGGAGGCTCTCCTTCTCGTGAGGTGCCGCCCCCCGCCCCTTTACCAACACCTGTTCGAGCCCCGGCTTCTCCACCCCTACCCTGGTTCTGGTCTCCTCTCCGCCATATGGATGGTGGAAACCTTCCACAGCCTCACCTGCCGCTGCCGAGAACACTGCCGCCACAACCAGTGCCCGGCTGCCCAGGGATGGCTGCAGGCGGCGGAGAGGCTGAGGCATTAAGGCTGATGCCCTTTCTTCCGGAGGACGTCGTACCATTCCCACCGAGGGCAGCACCGCCAGTGCCTCGCCAGATACAAGGTGATCAAATGAGCATCTCCAGCCTCAACAGCAGCCTCGCAGGACACACTTACGAGCAGGTGAACTTCGTTATTGAACCTCCCATATCGGAATACAGGGAAAATGAGTATGAACTAAGTAAAACGATAGATGAAATGAACACTCATCATATTGATAAGGAGGACAATCCCACTGATGATTCTGGTCCCATGTCCTGGCGGCCCAGTGATCACCCAGAGCCGGAGATAAACGACGGAGGGACGACGAGACGCACCTCCTCCCGGAGAAAACGGAAAAAATCGCGATGTGCAGCGACAATTACAGACGATTCCCTGGTGAGCAACCTGCACCCCAAGTTCCTGTACAGCCAGGGTGTGGACGGGGTGGGGCGGCGGATGTCTCTGGTGGAGGAGGGACGTCCAACACTGGCAGTGTTTCCCCCACATTCCCCACCCTACACATACACCTACTATGGCCGGCGGCGGTCCACAGCCACCTGCAGCAACACCAGCAGCCTGGTCGGCGAGAGACACATTGTGACACTGGAAAAACCCATCACTCTTATTTCTGAGACGAGATTAGAACTGGGCAGTCGATCAGTATCTGCTTCGCCTCCGTCTGTGCAGCAGTCGAGCAGTCTTGAGGAGAGCCTGATCGAGCCTCCAGCAGCACCCGTCACACTAGCAGACAGCAGGGACGCGCTCTTCATACATCGGCTACTAAACCTGGTCAACCAGGACGGCGCGCACAACGGCGCCCCTGACTCTGATGCTTCAGGTCCGCGTCACAGAAATCGCCGGCGGGGCGTCTACGTCCCCGTGGACACGGAATCTGACACGGGCGTGACATCCGAGCCCGAGCCCAGCAGAGAGCCTCAGACGACCTCCAGCCCAGAGTGCCATCTTCAAGGGGAGAGACTGAGCTCGAGCGGGAGCACGCAGTCGTTGTCTGGTCAGGACAAGGGCTTGTGCCCGCTTCACGGCACCAGTATACCCTACCAGGTCGGCTTGGCACCGGCGCTACAGCGGAGACGGTTTCGTCGGGCGTCCCTCCCGGCTCAAGTTTCGCCCGAACCACGACCTTCATTTTTCCAACGTCTGCGGCGGTCGCTCCGAAGGAGCCGGAATATTGAGCCACTCATAGCCGAGTTGCCGAGCCCTCTGGAGCTGATGAGCCAGACTGTGGACGCTGCGCCCTCTCCAGCCTCTGCGGAGCCACGCCCACTCCCAGGGGTCACCTGCTCTTGTCCGGACCCTGTACAAGACTTCCGTCGCTTCCGGCCACGGATTGGCTCAGAGGTGACGGTGATGAGTAGCGACGAGGAGGACAGAACACAGCGACCTCCCACTCCACAGGTAATTCACCTCCCACTCCAATGGTAACTCACCTCCCACTCCAATGGTAACTCACCACCCACTCCACAGGTAACTCACCACCCACTCCACAGGTAACTCATCACCCACTCCACAGGTAACTCATCACCCACTCCACAGGTAACTCACCACCCACTCCACAGGTAACTCATCACCCACTCTAAATTACACGTAACCAGCACTTGCCTACCACTCCATAGATAACCAATCTTTTATCTCAATAAGTTTGTCACCAATAATCAAATTTTAAGATTACCAGCCATACTGAGGTAATGTGTAATGTAACTTGTCATTTTATTGACTCACTGTCTCACCTTTGGCTTCCTGGTGGTAAGTAAGGAGAGTCCTTCGTCGACTCCAGTGCTCCAGTTATGAATTACTGAATGTCTGTTTTTAAGGAATTTCCTATGTTGGTCTGTCTGTCTCTGTCAACCATAGTTCTTGGTTGTGGTTGCTTCTTGCTCCATATTATGCTGTGGGTTTGATGTATACTGTGTGTGTGTGTGTGTGTGTGTGTGTGTGTGTGTGTGTGTGTGTGTGCGTGTGTGTGCGTGTGTGTGCGCGCGTGCGTGCGTGCGTGTGCGTGCGTGTGCGCGCGCGTTTACTATTTGTCTGCAAAAGCGAACTATTAGCTCTTGGACCCCGCCTTTCTAGCCAATCTATTTTTCATTATGCAGGTGATGAGTCACAATAGCGTGGTTGAAAAAAAGTTTGACCAAACCACGCACTAGAAATTGAAGGGACGACGACGACGTTTCGGCTACCCTTTATTACACTTTACTTCCGTACCTTTTGCCTCGCTCTTTTCGTCCTCTAAGATTTCCATCTCCTCGCCTCTCTCTCGCCTACTTAATGTCCTTGGTGAGCCTACGGGCTTGCTCGTGTGCCAGGTAAGTCCACTACGGGCTCACCATAGCCCGTGCTACTTTTGTTCCCAGTAGCTGAATCTTAAACCACCACCACCTCGTCTCATCACAATCGACTTGATAACGGTTCAGGACGGACCATTTCAATTTCTAGTGTGTGGTTTGGTCAACGATTTTTCCTCTATATCTACTACATATATTTCTCTCTAACACACACGCACACATGTCCAGGAATCAGCCCATAACAGCAGCTTAACTCCCAGGTACTTATTTACTGCTAGGTGAACAGGACCATCAGGGTGAAAGAAGCTCTGCCCATTTGTTTCTGCCTTTGCCGGGGATCGAACCCGGGCCCTTAGGACTACGGCCCCAGAGCGCTGTCCACTCAGCCGCGAGGTGTGTGAGCGTTTTTCTTGGTCGAATCCTGGCCCTTTGGCACCGTACAATAGGCCTAAGGCTGGTCTATAAAGGTTTGCATTTGAAAACCCTGGAAGTATCTTTTTCCTATGTTAGACCTATGGTAATATGGACCTATGGTAAGATGGACCTATGGTAATATGGACCTATGGTAATATGGACCTATGGTAATATGGCCCTATGGTAATATGGCCCTATGGTAATATGGACCTATGGTAATATGGCCTTATGGTAATATGGCCCTATGGTAATATGGTCCTATGGTAATATGGACCTATGGTAATATGGACCTATGGTAAGATGGTCCTATGGTAATATAGACCTATGGTAATATGGCCCTATGGTAATATGGACCTATGGTAATATGGACCTATGGTAATATGGTCCTATGGTAATATGGACCTATGGTAATATGGACCTATGGTAAGATGGTCCTATGGTAATATGGACCTATGGTAATATGGACCTATGGTAAGATGGACCTATGGTAATATGGCCCTATGGTAATATGGACCTATGGTAATATGGCCCTATGGTAATATGGTCCTATGGTAAGATGGTCCTATGGTAATATGGACCTATGGTAAGATGGACCTATGGTAAGATGGACCTATGGTAATATGGACCTATGGTAATATGGCCCTATGGTAATATGGACCTATGGTAATATGGACCTATGGTAAGATGGTCCTATGGTAATATGGACCTATGGTAAGATGGTCCTATGGTAAGATGGACCTATGGTACAACCCGTTCTCGCACTTTCTTATAGTCAATATTGACTTATTAAATACGTGCATATGTGACATACTAATTTATTGGGAATATTTTAGTTTACCTTGAAAAGCTTCATAGAAAACACCGACCTTACCTAACCTTCTTAGTATGTTAAGATAAGCATCTTATTGCTTCGTAATTACAATCATTACTTAACCTATACCTATAATATGTTTAGTAATACTTGTAATTACGAAGCAATAAGATGCTTATCTTAACATACTAAGAAGGTTAGGTAAGGTCGGTGTTTTCTATGAAGCTTTTCAAGGTAAACTAAAATATTCACAATAAATTAGAATGTCACATACGCATTTATTTAATAAGTCAATAATGACTTAAAGAAAGTGCGAGAACGGGTTGTATGGTAAGATGGTCCTATGGGAATATGGACCTATGGTAAGATGGACCTATGGTAATAAAGACCTATGGTAATATGGCCCTATGGGAATATGGACCTATGGTAAGATGGACCTATGGTAAGATGGCCCTATGGTAATATGGCCCTATGGTAATATGGACCTATGGTAAGATGGACCTATGGTAATATAGACCTATGGTAATATGGCCCTATGGTAATATGGACCTATGGGAATATGGACCTATGGGAATATGGACCTATGGTAAGATGGTCCTATGGTAATATAGACCTATGGTAATATGGACCTATGGTAAAGAGGGCACGCCATGGCCAGGATGTACACACTCAAACACATTCACTAAGACGACAATAGGTTTTAAAACGTATATGTCGCCTGGTGTAGCGGCACGTGTCTGCCTGGGGCCAGACTCACGAAAGGAGTTACGCAAACACTTACGAACCTGTACATCTTTTCTCAATCTTTGGCGACTTTGTTTCCAATTATTAAACAGTTAATGAGCTCCGAAGCACCAGGAGGCTGTTCATAACAATAACAACAGTTGAATGGGACGTTTTCATGCTTGTAAACTGTTTAATAAATGTAACTAAAGCCGTCAAACATTGAGGAAAGATGTACACGTTCGTAAGTGCTTGCGTAAGTGCTTTCGTGAATCTGGCCCCAGGTGTACATTGAGTTGCAAGGGGTCGGGTTGTATTGAAATGGCCCGTGTGACTACCGTAGACTTGTGCCTGCTTGGCCCATCCCCCCCCCCCCCCCCCCACTCACTACCGTGAGAGGTGCACATTGATGTACCTGCTTGCTGGACACCTCTTTATCCCTAACTTTACCGTGATTTTGGAGATTTTTCACCATCCTCATTCACCTTCATATACCATGAACCCCTCAGTATGGTGAAATCTCACCATCTTCACACTCCTTTGTCCACCGTAAACCTTGGGTATGGTGAGGTCTCGTAATTTAAATCATTGCTACAACTCCACGGTATTCATCATCATTTATTGCTAATGTGCAGTCCTGCTGGGTGTGTACTCAACTAGTTGTACTCACCTAGTTATGTTTGCGGGGGTTGAGCTCTGGCTCTTTGGTTCCGGTCTCTCAACTGTCAATCAACAGGTGTGCAGGTTCCTGAGACTACTGGGCTCTATCATATCTACATTAAAACTGTGTATGGAGTCAGCCTCCACCACATTACTTCCTAAACGTGTGTGTGTGTGTGTGTGGGTACTCACCTATTTGTGCTTGCGGGGGTTGAGCTTTGGCTCTTTGGTCCCGCCTCTCAACCGTCAATCAACTGGTGTACAGATTCCTGAGCCTACTGGGCTCTATCATATCTACATTTAAAACTGTGTATGGAGTCAGCCTCCACCACATCACTGCCTAATGCATTCCATCCGTTAACTACTCTGACACTGAAAAAGTTACTTCTAACGTCCCTGTGGCTCATGTGGGTACTCGGTTTCCACCTGTGTCCCCTTGTTCGCGTCCCACCAGTGTTGAATAGTTTATCCTTGTTTACCCGGTCGATTCCTCTGAGGATTTTGTAGGTTGTGATCATGTCTCCCCTTACTCTTCTGTCTTCCAGTGTGTGTGTGTGTGTGTGTGTGTGTGTGTGTGTGTGTATGTATGTGTGTGTGTGTGTACGTACGCATACGGGGTTAGCTTCTGGGTGTCGCCTTTTAACCATGGGTTGTCTTTTGCGCTTACTTTTGATCCGGATTCTTGTCCATTTTGGAGTCTGCTTCCACAACCTCCTCCTGCATGTATATAGTTGGCTCCACTACTTCCTCCATGTATGCGGTTAGCCTCCACTGGGCATTTCCCCCCCCCCCCCCCCCCCTCTCTCTCTCTCTCTCTCTCTCTCTCTGTCTCTGTCTCTGTGTCTGTCTCTCTCTCTCTCTCTCTCTCTCTCTCTCTCTCTCTCTCTCTCTCTCTCTCTCTCTCTCTCTCTCTCTCTCTCTCTCTCTCTCTCTCTCTCTCTCTCTCTCTCCCCCTCTCCTCCCCCCCCCCGTCTCTCTCTCCCTCCCTCCTTATTACTCGCTAACGCACAAGCCTTAAGTCACAAGCGTATTTATATTTCCCAACGTAAAATTACCGAGGTATGTAAATATAAATATATATTTTTACCTTTCTCTTTGAAGCATCTTAAAGGGAAAACAAACAATCATGTTGAATACACGACCTTGACGTTTTGAGGAAACATAGTTTGTGTCTTGGCTTCTTCCTGCGGTTTATCATCCTTCGGAAGGTGTTGCCAGCCAGGGCCCTGCCACTTCCACCCTCCTACCCCGGTTTATTTATACAACTTTCTATACTAATATACGTGCTAACCACGCGTGCCCCTCGCCAGCCGAGGGGCACCGCGAAGACGTCCTCGGGCTAGAAATGCCTAGAGCCTTTGTGACTGTTTTTGTGAAAGCTGATCGGGATGAGCTTGGCTGAGGGAGAGGGTTTGGTTACTGTAGCCTGCTGGTGTGTGACGACGACGACGCTCTGTATCGCCAGTAGCGCCGTGGGCTGGTGACTGGGGGAGACCCCAGCGCCG